AAATAGATTTATTAGTGATAGACAGCATGGTTTTATGCCTCACTAACTTGATCAAGTTTTTTGAGAAGGTGATGAAGATGACTAATGAGAGAAAAGCAGTTGATGTTGTTTACATGGACTTCAGTAAAGCCTTTGACAGGGTCCCTCATGGCAGACTGGTACAAAAGGTGAAGTAACATGCTATCAGGGATGAGCTGGCAAGACAGATACAGAACTGGCTTAGTCATAGGAGGCAAAGGGTAGTGGTGGAAGGATGATTCTTGGAATAGAGGGTTGTGACTAGTGGTGTTCCATAGGGATCGGTGCTGGGACTTCTGCTGTTTGCTGTCTGCATAAGTGATTTGGAGAAATATGTAGCCAGTCTCATTAGTTAAGTTTGCAGGAAATACAAAGATGGGAGGAGTTGCCCATAGTGAGGAGGATTGTCAGAGGATACAGCAGGATATAGATCAGTTGGAGGCATGGGCAGAAAAATGGCAGCTGGAGTTTAATGTGGACAAATGAGAGATGATGCATTTTGGAAGGTCAAATACAGGTGAAAACCATATAGTGATTGGCAGAACCCTTAGGAATATTGATATGCAGAGGGATCTGAGTGTGCAGGTCTACAGATCACTGAAGGTGGTACTGCAGGTAGATAAGATTGTAAAAAAAGGCCTATGGTATGCTTGCCTTCATCGGAGGGGGCATTGAGTATAAGGATTGAGTATAAGTTATGCTGCAGCTTTAGTTGGGCCACACTGGGCCTATTGCATACAACTCTGGTCACCGCACTCCCAGAAGCATGTTGATGCTTTGGAGAGGGTATGGATAAAGTTTACCAGGATGGTGCCTGGTTTGGGAGATTTTAGCTATGAAGAAAGGTTGGATAGACTGGGTTTGTTTTCAGTGGAAGCAGGAGGTTGAGGTGCTACTTGAGAGAAGTTTGTAAGATTGTGAATGGCATGGAGAGGGGTTTTGAGTTTAAACAAGATGTGTGAGGCAAGTTTTGTTTTTTTTACACAAAGGGTGTTGAGTACCTGGAACACGTTGCCAGAGGAGGTGGTAGAAGCAGACACAATAGGAGCATTCAAGAAGCACTTGGACAAATACATGAATAGGAAGGGAATAGAGGGATAGGGATCCTGTAAGTGGAGACAGTTTTAGTATGGAAGGGCAAAAATGTGTCAGTGCAGGCTTGGAAGGCCCTCGGGCCTGTTCCTGTGCTGTATTGTTCTTGTTCAAAAGAGAGATAAAGAACAAAGAGAGCAGTGATGGATCTGCCTCTATCTTGATTGAATCTCTGCTTATGGCACTCCACAATGGACTGCTGTCTGTGGCCTGGCACTGCTGCCAGCAGTAAAGACTTCATTGGCTGCCTGAGACTTTGACAGGTGCAGGTCAAGGTGGTTTGTATTAGTCATTGGTTGTGCCTCTCGTTCCTGCAGCCTAGATGCTTTGCAGCATGTCTGGTACTAGTTCTTTAACCAGCGTTGCTCCATGCTCCATGAGCAACAAGCGATGGACAGGGCTAAGTGATTCCACAACCAACACATCAGATTTAAGTTCTGCAGTCCTGCTGCAATAAATCAACAACTACGGTGAGGACTACTGAACAACAGCGGAGGAAGGAGAATCCATGATATCTCCATCCTCCATGATGAAAGAGTCCAGAACCTCAGTGTTAAGATAGGACTGAAGCATTTGCAACAAGGTTCAGTCAGAAATGCCCAGTGGATCCATCATGGCCTCCTCAAGACCTCCCCAGCATCAAAGATGCCAAACTTCAGCCCATTCCATTCACTCCATGGTAACATTAACAAATAGCTAAAACCACTGAATTCTGAAATGGCTGTGGGATCAGACAGTATTCCAGTAATAACATTGAAGACCTGTGCTCCAGGACTTTCCACACCCTAAGGCAAGTTGTTCCAGTACATCTTCAACACTGGCATCTACCTGACAAGGTGCACAAAAAAGTAGGGCAACTCAGCCAATTTCCACCCAATAAATATACTTTTAATGGAAGGGGTCATCAATAGTGCTACCAACCATAAGATACACAGGACAGGCCATTCAGCCTTGAGTCTGCTCTGCCATTCAATAGGATCATGGCTAATCTGACATTCCTCACATCCACTTTCCCATGTTTTCATCCATAACCCTTGACTCCCCTACTGATCAGGAATTTATCTACCTCACCCTTAAATATACACAAGCACTCTGCCCTGCAACTCCCTGTGGCAGAGTTCCAAAGACTCAACCGTCAGAAAAAAACTCCTCCTCATCTCAGTTTTAAAACTGGTGCCACTTTATTCGGTGACTATGGCCTCTGATCCTACACTCTCCTATGGGAGGAAACTTCCTCTCAACATTTACCCCGTCAAGCCCCTTAGGAATCCTATGTTTTAATGAGATCACCTCTCATTCTTCTAAATTCCAATGAGTAGAGTCCCAACACGTTTAGCCCTTGCTTACAAGGCATTCCCTCCAATCCACAGATCATCCTTGTGAACCTTCTCTGAATTGTCTCCCATTAAAATTATAGCACCAAATAAGAGCACCAAAACTGCTCACACTACTCCTGATGTGGTCTCACCGGCACCTTGTATAGCTGGGTAAGACTTCCCTGCTCTCATACTCTTCAAATAAGGGCCAACATTCCATTAGTCTTTCTGATTACCTACTGTACTTGGGCTTTAGCTTCTTGTGCTTCATGCACAAATACCCCAAAGTCCCTTGGTGTTGCAGTTTTCCGCAGTCTTTCACCCATTTAAATAATATTCTAGTCTTTTATTCTCTCTTCCAAAATGACCAACTTCACATTTTCACACATTATACTCCATTTGTCAACATCTTGCCCACATACTTAACCTATTAATATCTCTGTAAACTGTTTCTTTAGGAATAACCTACTCACTAATGCTCAGTTTGGATGCTATCATGGCACTCAGCTCCTGACCTCATTACAGCCTTGGTACAAAGATAGACAAAATAGCTGATCTTCAGAGGAGTGCCCTTGATATCAAAGCAGCATTTGATCAAATATGACATTAAAGGAGCTCTAATAAAACTGGAGACAATAGGAATTGGGGGCAAACTCCCTGCTGCACTGGAGTCATACCTGGCACATCGGAAGATGGTTGTGGTTGCTGGTAGTCAGTCATCTCAGCTCCATAACATCTCTGCAGTACTACCTCAAGGTAGTGTCCTAGGCCCAATTACCTTCAGCTTTTTGAACTATGACTTTCTCTCCAAAACAAGATCAGAAGATTGTGTAATGTTCAGCAATATTTGCAACTCCTTATGACTAAAACAGTTTATGCCCAAATGTAGCAAGTCTTGGTCAACATGCAGTCGTGGGATAATTAGTGGCAAGTAACATTTGTGCCACATAAATGCCAGGTAATGACCATTTCAACAAGAGAATGTAACCTTCACCCCTTGAAATTTTATGACACTACCATCACTGAATCCTAAAGTATCGACATCCTGGGAATTACTTTAGTCTAAAAAAACTAAACTAACCATATAAATACTGTGGGTAGAGATCAGAGATTAGGAATCCTGCAGTGAATAACTAGCCTGACACTCCAAAGCTTGTACACCATCTACATGGCACAAGTCAGGAGTGTATTGAATATTCTTCATTTGCCTAGATTGGTGCAGCTCCAACAACACTCAAGAAGCTTAACATCATACAGCTCCTTCTAAACCCATGACTTTGACCACCGAGAAGAACAAGTGCAACAGATACATGGAACACCATCGCCTGCACGATACCCTCCAAGGCATGGGGTAATGCATTGCTGCTCCATGAGTGTCACTGATTCAAAATCCTGGAACGTCTTTACTAACAGCATTTAATTGCAGTGGGTATGCTTACATTAAATGAACAATAGCATTTCAAGGCACCATTACCTTCTCAATGGCAACTAAGGATGGATAATTCCATGTATAGAGTTTTTTAAAAAAATAAATAAGCAGATGGTGATTACAATGACAGTGATAGTAATTTATGGTCATGCAGTTCAAAGGTGGAGCTAAGTGGAAGGCCTTAATCCTATATCTCTATCTGTCACATACTTGCCCATCTTCCCATTCCCACTCAACCTGTCACTTGTTTCCGTCATTCACCCTTCATTCCACTCGCGCCCCCATTCATTCCTAAATCCCTTTACCTGCCATCCATTCCCCAACCCACTCCTCACTCTCCGGCTCATTCCCAACCCCCTTCTCATCCCACCAAACCTCGTAAATCCTCAACTCCATTCCCCTTGCCCTCCACTTCCCCCAAACCCATTTCCAGCATCCCCTCCCGTCTTCTCATTATCCCCAAAACCGCAGGCCCTCCCTCTTTCCCTCTCGGCCGTTTTCTGATTTGGTTTTGACTCCGGAGCTGCGCGAGATCTTGTGAGAAGCCTAGACGGGGTTTCTGGGAGGTCCAAGCTGCAGAGGTAGGGAGCGGGACTGGGACAACGGGATCACCGCCCACCCCAACCACCTCTGGGCACTGGGAGCAATCACTCCCACTAACCTCTGGGCACTGCGAGATCATCTTGCACTTACCCCAGTGCCTACTTTAATCCAGCAGTGCCCAGTTTGTCTTCAGTCTGAACTCTACTTTTCAATAAAAAGGAATTTCCTCAGGGCATTGTGCATCAACCCACAGCAGGTGGGACGCCAGTGGTTCAAGATGGCAGCTTACCACAACCTCCTTAAGGGCACCAAGAGAGATGGGCAATAAATTCTGGCCATCCAGAGATGCCCATATGCAACAAACGAATTAAAAAATATCAGATGCTTTGGGGTGGGAGGAACATCAAGGAATTGATTGAAGCAATAAGTTAAACATCTACATTTCATCTTATGCGATTAGTCTTTGAGTGCTCTGGGAATACCTCCATATTCAATTCCCTTAAATGACCTGGATGCTTGACCTATCACAGCAGATCTTGCTTTAGTTTGTATGCTGCAAATTTCTTCATTTTCAAGCTCTGGTACACGGTCAGATGATCTTGAATCATGACAGACAGCATCCATCACGAAGTTTGCTATTTGGTCGGGGGGCAGGCTGGACATCAAAGCCAAACCAACTTTATATAAACCCCTTGTGGTTGATCGGTAACCCCTCAATAGAGTAGCACTAGGTTTATCCAACATCTACATATTAGCAAACCACACCATGATCTGAATAATGGAGATACTAGGGCATATTATGACTAATATGTACGTTCAACTTCGTTCCCTCAAAGGTCAACGTATTATCATTACTTGTTATGACTGCTGCAAGCCCCTCTCCAATGGGCACAGGGCGGAAATATTGTAAATATGGTGGAATTAATCTCATGTAACCTTCCCATCGCAAACTAATCTGCAAATAGAAAATACAGGGAAAATAACTTTGATACACAAAGTGACTGGATTTCCCTCACACCGCCTCCCCACACCTTTAGTCTGATACATGAGCCAAACAAAGGGAGATGATACTAGAAAATCCACTGCAAAGAGAAGGGTTTGAAAGTCAATATTGCAACATACAGACTAAACAGAAATTGTACTAGGAACACTTGGATTTTATCCAAAGCACATGTGGCTGATCAATGAAGTCAAGGATCAGCAAGGCATGCAATAAATCTTGTAGCTGTAACCAGCTGATACAAGGATTTCTCAATTAAACAAAAGAATCCCTGGAGATTCCACAAATCTCTGCCACAAAACAACAGCTTTGCTGATCAACTCAGCGTTCAATAACTCTTGTCTCAAGTTTCCCTGAGGCTTTAAAAGGTTACAAAGAGAAAGCGTAATGAGGGGGTGACTGCTTCATGCTCAGTCTCTGAAAGCTGACCACAACTCAAGTAGGGGTAGGCTTAAGGAAAGGAGCATTGATGAATGTTAAGGGAGTCACACCTGCCCTTCTTCAGCTCATATAAACATGTCAAAGCAGTTCCACAGCAAAGCTTCAATTTTTTCCTTTGTACAATTCCTGCTTCAAACAAACACAAACATAATATGCACTCCAAATTAGCAGTCAAATTAAATAGCGGACAAGTTTACTTAGTCATATTTATTGCATTATTCATTTGAGGGAATTGTTCATGAAATAGGCTAGGAATTTTTTTCCTACTGGAGCATAGGTGGTTGAGAGGCGACCTGCTAGACGGTTATAAAATAATGAGAGGAATAGATATAGTTTACAGTAGTTGTCTTTTCCCTAGGATGGGTCACTTCAAGACTAGGGGGCACATTTTAAGGTGAAAGGAGAGATTTAAAAAAGACATAAGATGCAATTTTGTTTTTTTTGTTTTACACAGAGGGTGGTTCACATGTGGAATAACCTCCTGAGGAAGTGGTAGATGTGGGTACAATTACAACATTTGAAAGACATTTGAATAGGAAATATTTGAAAGGATATGGGCCAGGAGCAGGCAGGAGGGACTAGTTTAGTTTGGAATTATATTCGGCATGGACTGGTTGGACCGAAGGGTCCGTTTCTGCATTGTATGACTCAATGAATCTGACCTCCTGTAGATACAGTGAATGATGTGCAGACTGTGGTTTGCAGAAATGCCTCAGTGCCAGGAAGTTGGAGTACGTTGAAAGAGGATGAGGAAGACTGGAAGAGTAACAGCATTGACGTAAAGCTACTATTAGCAAAGTTAAAAGGACTGTTGATTGGATGATCCTGTATTTGATATATTTATTGTTGGATTTGATCCCAATGTGCAGAAATGGTATCCATGAAGCTTAAGTTCAGCCAGACTGGTGGCAAGATGACTGCTGCCATCCATTTGTGGAATTCTACTTGATACTGCAATTAGGAAATTCTTCTTGATATTCCAGAGGATTTCTAAAATTCAGCTGCTTTACCAATGAAAAAGAAAGAATTAATGCCTCCATTCCTTCTTGCCAACTGTCTGTTTTAAACCATGTTGAACTGCACCTGTTATTTAGCAGCACTCAAGAGCTTACAGCAGTAAGTCCAATTTTAGTGGATTTTATTAGCAATAATAGTTACATTTCACAATCATACCATTCAGAATGCTGACAGTAACTAGGCACTAAAATCAGAACAAATGGCACATAATTGAATAAAATTACACATGATTTAAACCTTCATGCACATACAGTGAGCCCAAGATTGATACCTGGCTCTTGTTCCCATGGCAATAGGATCACATGCAGAGGCTAGCAACCATCTTGAGAGGGGTGCTGTAAAAAAATTACTTTGTGGAAATGGATAAGCTATTAACCCTTTGTCATTCCCAATTGGTAACAGTAGCAATTCCCCAACAACTGTTTGCACTGGTTTCAGTCACTGCTGCTTCCCTCTTGTATAATGCTGTACAATTAGTGTGCAATTATTGCAAGACAAGCTACTTAGTAGATAATAGCATTTTTAAAAATTCATTAAATTTAGCATTACAGAAGTGGGTCTCAGTTTGGTGGAACACAGAAATTAAAATTGTAAACATAATCAAACCAATGGCTATGCAAGGAAATCGAGACCACAAACAACAATTCCTAACTACAAATGAAGTCTGTTTCCAAGTCTGTAACAAATAGCACAAAAAAAAAAGAGAGAGACCAATCTATCCAATAAGCCTGCAGCGTTCCAAACATGCTATCTAGTTCACTGTGCACTGTGGAGGAAGGGTACAATATACTGTATGCAACAACAGCTTACACCTACAATTCTCAAACAGCAAATTCTGGAATCACTTTCTCAAAGGCCAGAACAAGGCTGGTCACCTGGTGCCACTTGTGTCCCCACTGAAAAACAGCAGTTAAGCACTAGCCATGCCAATCCAACAGACTGACTCTGGCCACACCTAAGAGAATTCATGACAGTAGTCAAACTTAAAGCAACATTAAACTCCTTATCCTCTCTGCCAAATCTCAGAGACAGTGCTACCACAATCTCAGGATGACAAAGTCTCTGAAACTGCAAATAACTGAGCAAGAAAGCTTGAGCATGAGGTTGAATAATACTGCAAATTCAAACAAACAGACAAACTTCTGTGGCTGAAACACAGAACTGTGGGATGCTAGGATGGCAATGTCCCCGTGGCTAGTGGCTCTTTTACATTGGTGTGCAGTCAGCCACATTGACAGTTACACTTGCCAACTAAAACACTTCAATACCGTACAAAACAAAACTCCCACACCTTGATCATTTTCAGGGGTCACAGTTGTGGTAAATTTAGAAAAAAAAAAAATCTTTCTACAGCTTTCTAACCAGGATCCAGTCATATTGACAGGCCACTGTCTACAATGAAAAGGCTTGTGAAACAGCAGCAGTAAAGTACCCCAGCCTGCAGGAATCACTTTCATCTGATGACACTCTAGCTATTCTGGCTTTGTATCACCACTGAGCCATAACATCTCTGCAGGTGGGAACAGCTTTTATTCCACATCTCATATCCAATCAAGACTGGGATATCCTGAACAGAACACAGTCATTTCAACTGAGGTCCTAATAGACACACCTAAATTCACTAGGGCCAGAAGTTTTTGACATGCAAAAATCTCCAACCTCAACTGCAAGTAAGGTCTTTGTGATGGTCTGGTATGAAGTTTGATCTTGACTGCCTGTTAAATCTGGAAAACTTGTACAGAACAATTCAGAGAAAGTCATTTTCTCTTCTCGCCCTGCCCCAACCACAGATCATGACATCTATCTCCCTGACAGTCACCACAGTAATCTCGCCTGGAAGAGAAGAACAGGAAATTTTCAGAATACATTCACTCATCAACACACATACAAAAGCAAGTGATTACTGAATCTAAAGGCACAAGGTGTTTATATGGACTTTCAAGCAGTAGCGCCTTACAGCTTGGTATTAGTAGGCTGTACTAGAGGTCTTCACCCCTGCAAAAGCAGCAGGTTGAGGGTGAGGCTCCTGCCCATCGATGGTCTGGTATGAGGTTCGATCCCGATTGCCAGTTAAATCTGGAAAACCTGTACAGAACAATTCAGAAAAATAGTCATTTTCTCTTCCGCGCCCCACCCCCCACCTCAATAGATCATTGGCAGAAAAGAAAAAGAAGAAACCACAAGAGAGGAATGCATGAACATCAAGACAGACTTGGTTTCAGCTGCAAACTCACAGCAAGCTGACAGAATTCCTCAGTTGAAGTAACACTGGCAGATGCAGGAACCAAGGAATGGTACTAAAGTCTCACTAGTACCTCGAAATTAGCACAAAAGAAATAGACTTTTTGATCCAATTAATCTGAATTGGCAGTAATCCAAACCTCATGCTCCTGTTCTGTTCCTATCTTTTCTATTGTCTCCAATCAACTACTTAATCTATTTTAAATATTAGAAATATGGTCTCTATTTCAATTATGTTCTACAACCTCAAATCTACAAACCATTTTACTCATTTTTACTATTGCCCTCATGGTCACTGGAAACTGTTTTTGTCTGTCTTGTCTCATGATCATTTTGTAACATGTCAAATCAACAATTTGCAAACAACCCCAAGATACTTCACAGAAGTATAATGGACACAGTGGAAGGAGTTATCAGGAGATACCAAGTAAAACTTGGTCAAATAGTGGATTTTAGTTTGGCTTTTAAAGGATAGGATGAAGTTTAAAAAAGTAGAAAGTAATTCGAGATCGTTGGTCTTAAAACACGATGTGAAAAGGAGGGATTTGCCTAATGTGTCAGAGTAAAGGAAGCAGAGTTCCTCGAGGTTTGATTGACTTAACAACATGAAAGACAGTGAAAGGGATGGACATGAAATGGACTTAAACACCAAGATGAAAATGAAATTAGGTCGTGAAGCACAGGAATCAATGGATGTAAGTGAGAGTTGAGAATGAACTTAAGTTTATGGCATGTAGAGGATGTGGGATTAGCTGCAAAAACTTTCAAACAGGCAGTTTTGGAGGTTGCAAAGGTGAGATTCAAGGTGTTAGCAAAAGGGCCCAGACAGGTTGAAAATTGTATATACTCCATATAATGGAGTAGACATGGGCTCAGACACTCAAGCAAGATGCTGAGATTACCATCAATCCAATTCAACCTAAACAATGACCAGAAGTAATGATTTGGAAGTGATGGAGTGAAGTTTGGGGCATAGTCCAGAAACAGACATCAGTTTTCCCATAGTATAATGAGGTGAAATTGAGCTTCAATTTTTTTTAGTGGATGCTAGGCATGCAGTTTAAGAGGCAATACAGTGGTTGAGAGAAGTACAGCTGATTGTTAAAGGGCATTTTGGAAGTCCAATCACATCTTTGGTTAACAAGATGAAGATAAACAGTAGAGTGGGGTAACTTGAGGGAAGATTTTGGGTGTCTTTAGAGATCACAATGCGAGAACAGGAACAGAAACATTGCTGCAGAGATCTGTCCAACTGTAGCCAGAGTAAGAATGGAATCACACTCAGCTGTGCAACATGGGAGAGGAATTTCTGTAAAATGCTGCAGTGAGCTACAGAATGCTGCAGTGAACAGTCTCAAAGTTTGCAGATAAGTTTCTTGGGCTGAGGGTGGGTAGTCTTTAATAGCTTTGGATTATGACACTAGCACTTGGGGGCAGTTTCACTGCTGAGACAGGGAAGAAAACCAGATTGGAGATTCAACGTTTATCATATGCTGCATCATCAACTTTGGAGAGGAACTGGAAGTTGAGGCATGATTTCTAAGAAGTGAGGGCCTCGACCCAAAACGGCAACTTTCCTGTTCCTCTGATGCTACCTGGCCTGACTCCAGCATCGGCAGTTCTTACTATCTCTGAGGGGTTAAGATTATTTTCTTTTTTGATGTGGGTGATGACAAAAGTTTTGGAAAGAGTTGGGGCATTACCTGAAGAGAGACAGCTAACATGGGGGCCTGAGGAGGGTGTTGGGGGACAGGAATTTACTGGAAAGTCTTTCAGGAAGGAGAAGGTAGGTGTCATGGAAAAGGTGAGCTTATAGAGAAGGCACAGTAGTGGGAAATAGGAGGACAGAAAGACAGGTACAGAAATAGAGGCGGCTTCAGAGTTGGTCTCAATCTTAGTGACAGAAGACATAACCTTCTGACACTTTGTTTTGGAGAAAAGGTGAAGGGAGTAGGAGATAACAGTTTAAGGGGAGAGTTTGTACATTTAAAAAAAAAACAAGCTGCAGAACAATGTCTTTGTAAAACTATAATAGTTATTACTTTACTGTACCTCTTACACCTACTGACAGAATTCCATCAGCCATTGCTTTGCCCATTCCATCATCACGTCAATATCCTCGTCGTTTTTTTTTGGTCCTCAGAATGCGTAATAACTAATTCTATGTTAGCATCAGCAGATTTCAACCTCCCTTATACACAGAGGCCTTGAGGCTAATTTTAGTGCTTTAGGCAAGATCATCACACTCAGTATAGAAAGACCACCCTTGTGAATTTCCTACCCATGGTTAGCTTCTCACAGGGCCTCTGGGGAAGCTTTACAAAAAGCACAAACTACACCACAAATTTTTGTTTAACTGTCTACAGTTTGACAGAAAAAACAACTCATTTCCATGAGACTATGTTACACAAAACTGAAAATAAAAATTTCTAAAAATCTGGATCTTCACAAAGGACAACGAAACAGCAGCAACATTTCAGCAGCTCAGGAGGAATGATATTATTGGCAGATCACCAATCAAAGCAGGACTGAGGGCTACAGCAAAGGGAGGAAGAGTGTACACGCACTGCAGGAGAGACAGGGATGGGTAGTTCAGTAGGAGCGGCCGTAGTGAGCACCGGATTCAACACTATCGCACGTAAACCTGCTGTCAATGGAGTTGTCCAAGTCTGGGATGGAGAGACCAAGGAGAGGGAGAAAGCGAGAGAAAAGAAAAAGACAAATATAAGCTTTTAAAACACCTTCTGCAGGTTGTGAAACAGGTAACTAAACAAACAGAACAGGTACAACATGAAAAAGGAATATTCAGTACAATTAGCTCAAAATGTAGCACCCTCCCTTGCAAATGATCAATTTGCAATAATTCATTCTTCTGAAGTACCACCTACAGTCTCAACCCTCTCAAGAGTTGGAGTTGGAAACATATCCAGCCCAAATTTACCAAACCACTAAACTCGTGAAACATTTAAATTGTCCTTTGTTCTCTTCGTTGCAGTTTTCACCATTTTAAAAGCAGTATCTCTAAAACTAACAACGGCTTCACGACAAAGTACCCACTGCTCTCCTGAATGCTCAGTGAGTTTATTCAGTCAGCAGCCAAGCCTATAGCATTGGAACATTGCTGTCCTGTGCTGAGTGAACTGCTCTGAGCCAGATCCAGGCCCCTCAACATCATCCAGCAATTCCTGAACAGTCATGAATGTGTACATTAGATAAGGATATCAACAGACAGTCATTATTTGAATCCTTCCAAGGTCAGGCTGTCTGCAAAACACCCTTGTTCACTACCTACAATGACAATCTGCACTACTGCCCCACCTCTCCAAGATCCACTACTCTCAACGCATCTTCTCATTCAATCTCCACTTTACACTGTATGTGAACGGTCACAGTCAGCAGAAAATGAAAGTCCCTTTTGTTCTAATGGTCGCAAATAGAATAGGGTAGTCTGGGAAAAGAAAATAAAAAGCTAACTTGATGCCTCTCACTGTACACATTGCTTTAGCAACAAACTTTCCACTTCTGCTACCATACCCAGCCACCAGTACATCACTTGGTGTTAATGATAAGTTTAGCTGACTTGGCTCTTACCAAAGTTTAGATTATAATCGCCCCCTCGTTCCTTGTACATCTGATACACAAAAAAACAAGATATCGGTTTCAGAAGGAGACTTAAAATCGTCATGCCAACACTGAAGCGAAACTGGTCCCTTGATGCAATGTCGATCTGTTTACCAGCTAGACGGTCATAGCTGATTGCGATGTGGATGATGTCCATGAGAACTGTTATCAACATGCCAACTAGATACTAAAAAAGAAAGTAGGACATAGAATTAAGGAAGAGAAAGGAATCCATCATCGTGTCCAATACCCACATTTGCTATTCTAGCTCGAAGCACCATTCCCCAGCTTGTAGGCTATGGCCACTAATAACCTTTGACGCAGATATTCACAGCATAAGCTTTCATTAAGACCCAGAAGTACAAGATCATTCCAGATGATGAAAGAACGTGTGTGAATCCAGCATAAGGCAGACACGCCCAAAGGATAAAAGTTCTCAGCTGTTACAATATGTATGAGCGTTCATGTTAGGACATTTTTTTTTTAGTAAGCTATCCCCTCCAATCATGACTCACTATAAAAGTCAGGATGAACAAGAATGCTTTAAAACTCAGACAACTCTTAACTGAAGCAGTACAGTGCTTGGAAAGGTCATGCAAGCCGATACATGCATCCTATCATGCAATATGGGTAAGCACAGTCTTAATGCTTATCTATTGCTGTAATGCTCCATTTTGTGCCCAGCTGATGTGATCATAAACCACAATCTTGTATTTCCCAATTATTGTCAGAGGGATGGAATGTAGTTCATGCAGTTAACATAGAAACAGATCGTCAATTTGCCATTAAGTGTTACATTTTTGTGCACAGGCTTGCAACAACTGTACAGGCGGGAACAACTAAAAGTTAATATCAATTTAATATCAATGAATCCACTCTGAGTCTGCCTTTTTCATTTTATAAAATAAAACTTACATCTGCTCTGAATTAAACACATTTTAAATAATTACAATTTGAGAACCACAGCAAAAATCTTGCAAATTCTTTATCCAACAGGTTATAGGACAAGAGTAAATTCACACATGTTCAGTTAATTAAGTGTGGGGTGATTCAAAACAAGAGTATTCCAGATACCTCTTTAAAATTTGGTTTGTGGGTGTCAACAGTAAGGTCGGTGTTTATTGCTTAAACGCAGTTGCTTTTTAATAGACATCTGAGCTGTTTGTGATAATGTAGCAGTAAAATTCAGTACTTTCACAAGTGTAGGGGTGTGGGAAAAGATGAACACATTAAACTGGAAATTGCTGTTATACCAGGAAAAGCATTATGCTAGTCTTGAACTGGAGGCACTCACCATGACAACAGCATCAACAGAGTCTCTCTGAGCAATGGCCCAAACCCCGATGGCCAGTATAGCATAATTACTCCAGAGGTAGGGTTGTGGGAGCCAGGGATACAAATAGCCCCTGTCAAATAGAAAATCATTGTAAGCTGCTCTACTCAGGAACTCAGTCACAGCTTCTTTGAAATGCATGACCATCCTGACTACCTGAGAAGGTACAATTGTACAAATTATGTATTTAATCATAAGCATCTCTCTATTAGAAAGCAGCAAGTGGTTATGACTTCATGACTGACCACAGTCTCTATGGGCTTTGAAACTTTACCCACTGGCAGCTTTCTGTTGAGCTTTTAAAATGCTTGATATTACATTCCTGATTTTGCTTAAGCAACATAACATTTTCTCTTGTTACTTCCCCTTTAGTCTCCACTTCTGGGTAATATGTTATTCCGAGGTATGCCAAAGCTCTGCTTATTTCACTGGTACCTACTTGGTTATTTCAAAAAAAAAAATAAAATAAAATAAAAAAATAATCTTCTAACTCTACTACAAAAATACCTCTCCCTCCCTCCAAAAATCACTCAGCACTATTTGAGAGTCACATCAAATACTCTCAGCTAGCTGCTGCTTTGTAGCGCAAAAAAAAGGAAGAAAGATGGGTGCAAGGCCAGCTTAGAATTACTCAATCACTTCCCTCCTCAAAAAGAGGATGGGTATTTAAGCAGCAGAGATCTCAGTGGACTTTCAATCCTGACACTTGGGCCTTTGCATTTAAGTACGCAGGGACCAGTCTCTACAGAAACTGATACATCAACTTAAGTTTTTCTCAATCATTGGTTGCTGTTGCCCAAATTTAAAAGTTACAACACTGAATTCAAGGTCTTCCCAACACCAAACTCAATACTCATACCCAGACTTCCACATTCTAGCCAGCATCTATGGCTCAGAGTAAATTCTAAAGTAAACTGATTGATGATCATGTATATTAGGGGTTACAAGAAATTCACCAGAGAATCTATTCTCTGTCTTTATAAAATTCAACCCTGAAATAATTCCACAGAAGCCAGTATCTTGGCACCAAATCACCCTTTATTTACACATGTGTAGTACTTGACACTGGTCCAGCTTGCTGAGCCAGCTCTCAGGGAGCAGAACCTCTGACACTCCTCTTCATATCTTTCAGTCAGGGCTCCTTGATTGGGAGGCTGTTAACCTGGCTCAATCAAGGGACTTATCCAAGAGGTCTATCTCAACACCTTGTTACAATCACTACATCCCTCCCCCTCTAGGTCATTTGTCTGTTCTTTTTCTCGTAGCCTCTCTGGAGGCATTTTCACACTGGGTCGGGGTCCTCTGACTCAGCCTCCTATACGGGCGGCATGTATTGGACCACAGCCCGCATCTTGTGCTCAGAGCATCTCAGAAGAAACTCATCCTCAGGTGACATCTGCCTTGTCCATCCCAAATTCCAAGATTTCTTCGCCACTAGACGGTGGAGGAGAATCCAGGGGCTCTGACAGCCTTTTGGCCTGTTCTGAGGGGCTGGGTACATGCTTTGCTCCTGTCCCATTTGAGAGTTTGCAATTTTCACGTAGTCCATGTGCTTGTTCAGGGCTGCCCCACCTACCCAAAATTTGTACGTCACGGGACCTGACTTCACAGCAACTATGCTTCTTACCCACACAGGGTCATTTCTGGGATTTCAGCACCAAACTTTGCCCCAGAAGTAAACTGTCTCTCTCACTTAGAGGAGTCTTGTGTTCGGCATTGATGTTCCTGATGCTGTTTCACCCTCCCGCACATCCTTCCCCCCTATTCAGGACTGGGAAGATCAGATTTAACTTGGTGCAGAGTCTTCTCCCCATTAGCAACTCTGCTGGAGACAACCCTGTAGTTGCACATGGGGTGGTCCGATAACCAAATAGGAACCAGGACAGCTTAGTAGCTAGTAAAGCTGTAGGCTGTTTCTTTAAGATGTGGGAGCCAGGGCACCTTTGATTGCCCACACTTTATCTTCCAAAAGGTATAATCCAGTCCTGTCAACTCTGTAGCCTAAGTAGGTCACTTCGACTGCCTTCAAAATACGTATTTCCCTTCTAAGGCATACACCTACCTTGGAGAAACACTTAAGGACTACACACTTAAGGACTACGTCCAAGTTCTCTAACTGCTCTTTATTGGTCTTGGCTGTTATTGGCACATTATCCAAACAAATAGTGGCCTGAGGTAGACCTTGTAAAATGTTCTCCATCATCCACTGAAAAATGGCACAGACTGATGATACCCCAAATATCAATCTTGACTACTGGTACAAACCCTTACGGATATTAATTGGAACATACGCTTGGGAATCCTCATCCAACCACAGCTGCAGGTACGTGGCTCATGTCCAGCTTCATGAAGAACAGCCCTCCATCAGCTTTGCGTACAAGTCCTCTATGCGAGGGGTTGGGTATTTATCAAGCTGTGAGAAGCGCTTTACCATTTGTTTAAAATCCACACAAAGGCAAATTGGTTTGTCAGACTTCACAAATCGGTACGACCAGTGCTGCCCATTCTGCAAACTGTAGTGGTTTGATGATTCCTTCGCTTTCTAGCTTCCTGATTTCTGCTTCTATGGCTGCACACAAGGCAAGTGGAGCTGGGGAGGTTATGCAAATTGCGGAATTGCTTCCTGGTCAACATGCAAGGAGACCTTGGCTCTTTTGATAGTCTCTAGACAAGCTGAGGAACTTCCAGGTATTTAATTAGGACTTCACTCAGGCAGACATTTTCTAATTGAAATGTGTTGAGAAGAATCTTTATCAACAATTTGCACTCCATTAGGCTTGTGCGCAAGTGTTTTACTACAGCCAGTGGTAACTGAACCAGCTGCTTCTCATACAAGACCGGAACCAAAGTTGTACACTCAATCTGTAAAAGTTCCCCTCAGCCTAGCCAAGGTGTAAGGCAAACTTAAGGGTTGGAGTCCAGAGTTTTGGTGAAGACTGGTTTTGCAATTACTGATACAGCCACGCTGGTATCAACCTCCATTAGAATCAGGTGACCATTTAACCTGATGTTTATTTTGATTGGTTCTGAATTGGATGTTGCTAAGCAACTTAATTGTTCCAATCCAGATGACGGTGGGCTTTCTAGGGTGTGCATTCTCCTGGATACTGGCCGATGGGTTATCTTTCTCAATTCAGGCCTCGTGGGACTCTTGCTTTCAAGTCTACATACCAGCAGCAACTGCAAGGGTCTGCCAGCCTGGATCCTGAAAAAAAAAATGTTAACCATTTGGCCAAGGCTTGGCTTTGTTTTGGGGTTTTGTTGTGGTCCGGCCTAGAGTCCCTCTGTTCAGCATATGTCCTGAGTGAGGCTATGCAATTGCCTTCACTCAAGTGGCATTTCCCAAGCTCAGTCAGCTTGGCGAGGGTGTCCGTATCCATTGGCATACCCCATAACTCTCATGTTCCACATGCACATTTTCTAATGACAAAGCCAGTTGTAGTATCTGTTTGAAGTCCAGTTGGGCTTCACCTAGTAGGTGCTTTTGCACGGTCACATCATTAATCCCACATACCAAACGGTTTCTCAGCATCTCATTAAACGGTTAAACCAAAGTCACATGCCTCTGCTAGTCATCTTGACCTCGAAAATCCCAACACGAATTCCGCTGGTTCTCGAATTGCCAAGTAAAACTGATAATGTCTCTGAATTAGAGGAGGCTTGGAGTCATAATATTTCTTAAAGAAATCCGTCAACTATTGAAAGGTTTTAGTACCTGGTGCCTCAGGAAACTTTAGCCTCCTAATAAAAAGCTGCAGGTCCAAAAACTGTCAGGAGAATTACTCATTGTGTTTATTCTTTCTGGGCAGACGAAAAGCATTCTTTCCACAATCTGGGCCCAGTCTTTGACGGCAGGATTAAACAAGTCAAGCTTCCCAAATAACATACGATGCCAGAAATGCTTACCCCCAAGTCAAAGACGTCAGCTGCAGGTGAATTCATTCAGAAGCGTACTTTTTCTTCTCTTATCGCCACCGAAGTAAATCCACAGAGATCGGTATCCTGTCACCAAGTCACCCTTTATTTATACGTGCATAGTACTTGACACTAGTCTGCTTCCTCAGAGTCAGCTCGCAGTGAACAGAACCGCTGACGTTCCTGCTTATATCTCAACAGCCCCAATCAGGGAATCCTGGCTGACACTTAGTCCAATCAGTGATCTCATTCTCTGAGGTCCACTTAGCTGACCTCATTACAATTGCTACAAAAGCCACATCTGCAAACTTCATATCTCAACACCAACAGTTAAGGTTGATTTGAACGTCTCCCTCATTTGGTTCCCACAATTCAACCTGGACCAGTGAAGGTTAGGGGTGCTAAAGGCATGGCCCTGACCACTGATTAACATACCCTGTTCCAATGTTGCTGATTAAATTAGCAACATTTTAACTTGTACCTGTCTCAATGAGCCATGTTTTTATTTCTCAGCACTTCATTCTCATAAACCACTCTAACCTGACTGCAACAACAGCAACCAAACTAATACAAAATCTCACTGGCCTTTCAGTGCACAGAACTGCCTCAAACAAATATTGCATACTGGCACATTTCAAGGTCCACGACTACATGCTACAGGCACAGGGTAGACAACACAAAGTTGCAGTGGGGAAAGGCCGCTGTTGAAGGTCTGGAGTAGGCTGGTAATTTGTAAACCTCCTCCAGCTGTATGATTGCAACATTTATGATAATACATTCAGGAATATATCCTGCATTTATGTTGAGGCATCTAAGTCAACTTGCTCATTGTGGAAAATGTAATAGAATACAGTTTCTCCAACGTCCACTTTAAAATATTTATTCAAAAAGTATGTTTTTGCAAAAATATATTAGTACAGGTTAACCTACACAAGCCTCTGGGATAAATTTATTCAACTTTTATTACTTGGTCACATCAATTTGCATTTGAGATCAGAAGTTATTTAAAAATAACATTAACCTCTCCCTCTTACAAATCTCCCAGAAAAACTCCAGATTTACCTGCAACCTCTGCACAGCCTAAACTCAGGTAATGATCTGGTTTTTGATTATTATGCTGGCTTGCTGCCTTTCTAAATTTCAAGAACTTGTCAAAGCCTGGGAGACACAAGAAGAATCAGTTGCAGATTCCTACCCAACAGCAGCCAGAGTAACTGCCCAATGAAAAGGGAGGGTGGGAAGGATTAAAGTTAAGCTCTGGCACTAATTACCTTAACAAGCTGTGATTTTTACACATCTGTTGGGTGCTGCTTGATTTTAGTGAGGGCCTTGTCCAGGATCTCAAATAGCTACAAGAAATATTACAGAACTGTGAATGAGGTTAGGTTATTTGGCTCTTGAATTATTTTCTCCCCCATCTCCAACTCACTGGCACCCAATGAGGAAAATAAATCAAGACTATGATGTACAAACAATCGTATTACTTTCAAGTTAAACCACTCTTGGCAATAAGCATTGCAATAAAATTCAGCAAACATAGCTCCTCCAACAAGGAGGCTGGAACTAACCAGAATATTACAGGTCATTTACCTCAAATTCAGTTGTTTAAGGGTCTTAGAATCTGTATTAGGTAAAGACAACACTACAATTTGGAAACAAAGAATTAACCAGGGCCTCATCAACAGACAGTATCAAGTTCATACTAGGCTAGACTTGAAGAACCTGATAAAGAAATCAAAAGGATTAGGAAAGGAAATCCAATGGTTAGCAATCTTCAAAGTTACTTGATAATTTACCATGAAAGTGAGAAGACAGATGATGAGGGACTAACTTAAGGAGAAAGTGGAAGTAAAGAAAGTACAGAGATAAACTGAGAAGAGAGTGCTGTTGCCTATGGGTCTCGATTTAGGTTGTCCTTGTCCACTGTACTTCAAAACGTGGACTTGAGGGGACAGTACCTGAAATTTTCTGATCAAACTAAAATACAAGAAAGCAGGTGGGAAAGAGATGATGGATTGTGAAAACTAGATCAGGACACAGACCAGTGGGAACATGGAAAGTTAACATGCATTAAACAGCAAGGTCTTCTAGGGAAATAAAGGAACGTTTGGAGTATCATGTACAACTTTGGGAACCTCATTTCAGAAAGAAAACAAAAAAAAAAATGGAGCAGTCAAATTAGTGGAAGAGTGACTGAACAAATAAGCAGGATGGCCAGCAAATTATAACAAGGAGACAAATTTAAGAGATAATTTAATTTAATAATAGAATAATTTAAAGGAGAGTAGAAATAGATGTTTGTATAGGGAAACATTAGAATGTGAAAATCTGTTACTAACAAATTTTGAAGCAGATTCTGTAAATCCCTTTAAAAAGGGAATAAAACATCTGGGGATGCAAAATATTGAAGTGTTTGAGTATGAGCAGGAAGTGGGGTCAAACTATGGCATGTGCCAGTAAGGCATCTTTGGGCTGTAATATCATTATGATTTTCTCCTCCCGCTCCCCTGTAGAAACCCATACACAAACTATTTTCTGCTTCATCCAGTCTGTCCCAATGTCACAGGAACTCGTGAAATTTCAACAGCATTACAAAATAGGAGATTAGGGCAAGGGTCTCCTTTCGTACCCACTTTCTTTTATATTGAAGTGTCTTCTTTTTACTATCACATCTAGATGTTTCTTCTACTGAACTGAAGTGCCAAATGACTTAGATCCAGAAGCAAACAGCTCCACTTAGTCTGGAATGTCCCAGGATCCTCTGAAGTTCATAACCTAATACTGTTCAAAATGCATAATTTTCGTCATCACTATAAACTAATTGTGTTTCAAATTTAACCCTGCATATCTGTTCAAAAGTCAGAGACAAGATACAACTAACATTCAGTCTCAGTCAGCTTCTGTTTTCAGAACTGAGGCAAATAGACGTTATTCTTGTTTAACTCAGCTGGTACAATTAATTTTGTTTAATGGCCCAGGTAAGGGGAGTTGGCAGGACAGAAGATGTTAAAATGAAAACTTGTATTAATTAGATGCGATTCTCTAAGGAAAATGGCCACATATCTACCATTGCAACATTGGGTAATTTAATCACTTTGTACCTAGAACTCAAAGTACTACATTTGAAAAACAAAGTGGTATTTAAATTCCTGAAAATGAACAGTAGTCAATCTGACACTAAGCTTCCTCTCCAAAATTTGCTCATCCATAGTATTTCCAATACCTGCTCCTGCTTCAAAACATCTATTGCCAAATTATTCATTTACAATTGGCAGCTTCAAAATCAGCTCTTCCAATACTCTCCTGGCCAGACTCCCATACTTACAAATTTCAGCTTACCAGCCACTCCTAACACTCCGGGCCTCAGTAAACAATATTGAATTCCAATGCACCAATAAAAATTCTCATTATCGTGTTTCATCTCACCACTTTCCATCACGGAATGCATGGGGGAACTGCAACCACTGTTTATTCTTAGATAGTAGGAACTGCCGATGCTGGAGAATCTGAGGTAACAAGGTGTAGAGCTGGACGAACACAGCAGGCCAAGCAGCATCAGAGGAGCAGGAAAGCGGATGTTTCAGGTCTGGACCTTTTTTCAGAAATGTTCTTGTCTGGCACAAAAGCAAAATGGGTGAGAGAGCCAGTACATGGCTAACAAAGGAAATTAGAGATAGTATCCGATCCAAGGAGGAAACATACAGATTGGCCAAGAAAAATAATATGTCTGAGGATTGAGAGCAGTTTAGAATTCAGCAAAGGACCAAGGAATTGATTAAAAAGGGGAAAATATAGTATGAAAGTAAACTTGTAGGGAACATTAAGACTGACACGAAGAGTTTCTATAGGTATGTGAACAGAGAGAGATTTGTGAAGACAAATGTAGGTCCTCGACAGATAGAAACAGGGAAATGTATAATAAGAGACAAAGAAAATGGTTGAGCAACTGAATACATACTTTGGTTCTGGCTTCATAAAAAAGGACACAAATCAGATAAAAGAAATGTTGGAGAATGCAAGATATAGTAGGAGGGAAGAATTGAGGGAGATCAATATTAGTAGAGAAATGGTGCTGGGAAAATTGATGGGATTAAAGGTGGATAAATCCCCAGGTCCTGATAATTTACATCCCAGAGTAGATAAGGAAGTGGCTCTGGGAATAGTGGATACATTAGTGGTCATCTTCCAGGATTCTATAGACTCTGGAACATTTCCTGCAGATTGGAGGCTAGCTAATGTCACTCCAATATTCAAGAAGGGAGGTAGAGAGAAAACAGTGAATTATAGACCAGTAAGCCTAACGTCAGTGGTGGGGAAAATTCGCAAATCCATTAACAAGGACTTTATAGCAGAACATTTAGAAAGCAGTGGCAGGATCAGACAGAGTCAGCATGGAGTTATGAAGGGGAAATCATGCTTGACAAATCTGTCAGAATTCTATGAAGATGTAACGAGTAGAGTTGACAAGAAGGAGCTGGTCAATGTGGTATATTTGGACTTTCAGAAAGCGTTTGACAAAGTGCTGCATAAGAAATTATTCTCCAAGATTAAAGCGCATGGGATTGGGGAAAGTGTATTGAGACGGAGAGAAAACAAAGTGTAGGAATTAATGGGTCATTTTCAAATTGGCAGGCAGTAACTAGTGGGGTGCCACAGGGATTGGTGCTGGGACCCCAGCTATTTACAATATATATTAATCATTTGGATGAGGGAACAAAACGTAACATCTCAAAGTTTGCAGATGATACCAAGTTGGGTGGGAGGGTGAACTATGACGAGGATGCAGAGATCCTTCAGCATGATCTGGACAGGTTGGGTGAGTGGGCAAATCAACGGCAGCTGCAGTATAATTTGGATAAATGTGAGGTTATCCACTTTGGAAGCAAAAACAAGGCAGCAGATTACTACCTGAATGGCTGTAAATTGGGAGAAGGGAGTGTGCAGTGGGACCTGGGTGTCATTGTGCACCAGTCGCTGATAGTAAGCATGTAGGTGCAGCAGGCGGTAAAGAAGGCAAATAGTATGTTGGCCTTCATTGCGAAAGGTTTTGAGTACAGGAGCAGGGATGTGTTGTTGCAGTTATACAGGGCCTTGGTGAGGCCACACCTAGAATATCGTGTGCAGTTTTGGTCTCCTTTTCTGCAGAAGGATGCTCTTGCTCTCGAAGGAGTGCAATGAGGGTTTACCAGGCTGATTCTGGGGGATGATGAGACTGACGTATGAGGAGAGATTGACTAGGTCTTTGCTGGAGTTCAGACAAATGAGGCGGGGGGAATCTCAAAGACTTAGAAAATTCTAATAGGACTAGACAGGGTAGATGCAGGGAGGATGTCCGCGATGGCGAGTGTGTCCAGAAGCAGGGATCACAGTCAGAATTAGAATAGACCATTTAGGTCGGAGATGAGGAGACATTTCTTTTCCCAAAAGAGTGGTGAGCTTGTGGAATTCATTACCACAAAAATTTGTTGATGCCAAAACATTGAATGTATTCAAGAGGTAGCTAGATATAGCACTTGGGGTGAATGATCGGTTATGTGGAGAAAGCAGGATTAGGCTATTGAGTTGGATAATCAACCATGATCATGATGAATGGTGGAGCAGGCTCGAAGGACTGAATGGCCTCCTCCTGCTTCTATCTTTTATGTTCCTTCCATGTCTACAATTTCCACCAACACCTTCCAAACACTGTTTCACAATACTAGCCATTTAGACATTCTCTTTCACCACCACCCCCGCATACTGCCAATCATCCAATTACTGAAGCAGGACTCAGTCTTCTGTAAATATTTATCTGCATTTCATTGTTCAATACAAACTCCAGTCAGCTCTTTCCCCTTCCTAACCAGCTCACCTTAAATATATGCTCTAATGACTATTAGCTGTTGTCTAATCTCTGGAACATATCCTGGACCATAATTTACAACATTGTCACCTTCTGTCAATTACTGAATATTGTTCTTCTGAGCTTTGTGTTCTAGAATCTTTGCTGCCCCTTCAAGACCTTCCTTAAACGCCATCTCTTTGGCCAATTCTTTAGTCAACCTTTATATAATTTCCTTTGTCTCAATGGCAATTTACTTCCAATTAATCCTCAAGCATCATGCAATACTTTTTCTACAACAAAAAAGGACTAAGAAAAATCAATGAATGGTTGACGTTACCACATATTTTCACCACTTGGACAGGAATACAAATCCAACTAACAGATGCTTGTTAATTAATGCATCACTCACCAAGTTGTCAGGAGCCAGTGCACAACGATGATCATCTGTAGGAACACGAACCCAGGTCAATCCGAAAGAACAAACAAACACTACAATTCTAGAGACAGACTGGACTAGAGTCTGTCATTCTCCTACAACATCATTCCTAGAGAATCACAGAACACCCAAGATTATAGCCTGAAACCGACTCAGAATTTCTGTTATTTGACAAAACCACTCCCTACAGCCTGTCGACAAGAGGTCAGCCTGCAGCTCACTGGTGAAGGGGGAAAGAGGGTGGTGGGTGGTAGGGGCTAGGGGAAGGGAGGGGAAGGGAAGGGAACAGCGGGAGAAGAAGACGAGGGGACGAGGGGACGAGGGGACAAAAGTTATGCTCAGCTGCGCACAACACCAATAATTTAAACTTCGGGCTGTTCCTAAAGCCAGACTGTTTCTTTAAGATCCCGATCGATAACCCTGTTCTTAGCGGGTAGCCGGAACTCGAATTCTTGAACCTCCCACTTCCATTCCACAAACTTTACCTTCAGACTGACCACCGGCAGTTCCATCGCTGAAACTTCATGGAGTAACAAACTTCGAGGCGACCCATGTGACCCTGCATCATGTGACCCGGATCCACGTGCCCTGGGCTGGGGAAGAAACCCTCAGGGTGCAGAGGTTTGTTGAGTTCCCCCCCCTCAACTGAAGAAGGTGGCAAATCCGATCAATGCGAAACTGACCACTGACCCATTGCTCTTTGAGACGGGTGAGAATCAGCTGCTTAACGTCATAAGATCGTCTTAAAATTAATCATGCACATAGTTCACAGTC